TATTAAATCATGATAACAACATCACGCTTGCTAATCTTAAAAACTATGCAGATTATACTTAAACATCTTGTTGACTAAGTTTATCTTAACGTAGTTCTAAGTTACAATAGAAAACGAAATTAAATAAGTAATTAAATTCACATTTCGTCGCTAACATTCTTAACGTAGTTTTAGATTACAATAAGAACAAAATTAAATAAGTAATTAAATTCACATTTCGTCGCTAACAAGTTTTGTAGCACAAAATGACAAAATAATCGCCAACACTTTTACTAATATAGCGCAAATGTATGATGTCATATACTGTCCAATGTTTATAAATGTTTAGAAACGAACCACCAGTATGGCGTCGATTTATGACGTCATTTGCATTGGCCAGTACACTGGGTTCTATTTTGGAACATACCCGTAGTAATTTATGCCTTTTTTTAATAACTGGGTTTACGGCTCTGGGTTCTAGCCTATCATTTCTTTCGGAATCTTCATTTTTATATTCTTTTTCTTCACAATATGCTGATGCGTCACATAGCAAAGCTCTTGGCAGATTTTGACGACAGCTCAATCCAGCGGACAGTTGATGACAACAGCCACTCAAGTTCATGAGGCACCCAAGTGATCAAAATAACTTAAGGTTTATATTGACATCAAAGCACTTGTTTCGTCATTTTCTCTAATAGTTAACACGCGCGGACACTTAATTCACAAAATCGCATCACTTTTACTAATCAAAATCCACTTCAAACCATTATTTAAGCGACAAAACAGGAGCGACAATCCGTTAACGGCCAAGTTCCCGCAAAAAAACTCTGTAATTTATGCTCTATTGCACTTATCATGGTGGTTAGAGAACAAGAGAACGATCGCCGTAGAAAATAGTGTCCCAGAAATATGGACACCATTATAGAGGCGCTGCGATCGCTGAGTTCTCTCAATAAAAGTCATTTTCAGTCTATTTTTCCGATGAGATGCTACAAAACACAAAAAAAACCACTTGCACATCCACGCACAATAAAATATTTCTCCATTTTTTAATGTTTCTATTGTCAAAAATTACAAAATTACGGAGCATGAAAATTTTCTCACCAATGCCGCGAAGAAAATTTGTAGATTATTCAACTAACTTCATCTACTTGTACTCATAAACAGCTAACTTCGCAGTCACTACTCACTGACGTCAGCGCCGCTATAAATTCTACAATTTTCAAGGACAGGTGGGCTATGCTTTAGTACGTAGCGATCGTTCTCCTGTTCTTTAACCTCCATGGCACTTATAATGGATTTAGGTTTTAGGATCTGTACCAGATATATAAAAAGAAGAAAAAAGTATTTAGATATATAAGAAATAAAAGTACTCTGTGATCTACAACAACCGTATATCCTCTTAGTAGTCTGTGACACAAACTTTATGTCGTAGACAGAGAATGCCATCATTGTCTGTCTACGCTAAAGTTGTTCAAAACAATAATAAATCATTAGCATACTACTACGTGCTATATAAGAACATTTTTTCGTAATAATTCGCATTTTAGACTAAAATAAAATAAAATGGTAAAAAAATATCAACGAACACTCTTTCATATTTTTTAAGGCTTACGACTTTCTATAATCGATGTAAATGCTATTTTAATCTTAATGTAAATTATAAATCAATTAAGGAATATTTAAAAATTTATTGATTTTATATACAAAAATTAACTATTTACATACAATATTATATACGAGAACATTTTGTAGCAGACAACTTTGACCTTCGATCACTTATAAATATACAGTATACACTAACTAAACAACGTCTAACACTAAATTAAATCGCGTGCAATGAATAGCGTGCTACTAGATAAAATTTGCGTTACACGTACACTCTTAACAGCGTTGCTGCCAGAACTAGATGCCGCTAGATATTAATACTTAATAGCGCCAAAACATCATAGCGCCTTGGCGAGTACATACATAGCACGCTAACATACTATGCACTATGGAGAAATAGCGCGCTGTAATATGGCGCTATGCACTATATTAACCACCATTAGTCTACGCTTAGTACTCTTATTAGTTTATGGTCTACGCTGTATGTGAATACACAGAGTAAATTAATATATATATATAGAGATATCTATGGTATATATGACCATTTAAAAAACTCAAATTCTGTACTGTGCCTGCATGCAACTGTGTGTGTGTGTGTGTGTGTGATGCCCCTCCCCCCCACACACACATCTATTTATCATTTATTTATAGTAGTATCATCCGTTTGTAGTAGCTTTCAAAAACACTATCATCCGTTTTCACTTACACAAGATCACAAATATTTTTTCTATAGTCAAACCATTGATAACACTAGATCAGTAATAACCACGCCAAAGCGTTGCCACTGCACATATGGCCACAGCCATATGCCTAGCTAACGTGAGTTCATTGTTCAATGTGACGCCGACAGAGTTGAGCCGCGACAAAAATGGGTAAATGCGTAGTGAAAGAATGCTATTCAAGGTCATAAAAACGTAATAAATCAAGCGGAATCACTTTCAACACATAATTTTTAGTTCTCGTTTTCATATAAACGTAAAAAACCTCAAATAATTAAATAAAATTATCGAATATTGCCATTCAGGTTCAATGGTGCCACTTTTCCGCATTTTTGATTATCCTACATTAATGGGAGACTATATAATTAATTGAGTAAGTTAATTTGTAGATTGAAATTATAATAAAAACTACGTTTTAACTTTCATACAAAATAATTAATTATTCTTATTTTAGTTTATTCATGAATTATCTATAAAATAAATTTTATTACCTATTTTATATTAATAATTTTATATTATTTATAATTTTATATAAATTTTATATTAATTATATTTAATTACCTATTTTATATTGTTTGATTTATTAGTACCATAAAAATACGTTTTATTTCATCATTATGTTTACTTTTATTCATCTGATAAGCTTTGTATCCTTTTTTCTAAGGGGACGTAATAAAGATTTTAAAATAAAATTTACTTTTTAATATAAAAACAGTTAACTGCAGCTTAAAAAAACTCATTTTTATTGCGTATTTTAGGTAAAATCTCATATAGTAAGCCACACCAACCCGCCATTGCATGTTGTGTGTCTATCTTTATCTAATCTTAGCGACAATATTGTTTTCGCAACTTGTTAAAAGTGAGATAGATATATGTTTACTTAAAATTGTTATTAGTTTCAAAGCTACGTCGTCGTGTTTGGATAGTGGTTACACTTTTTTCGACGCGCTGTAATGTGGTTTGGTCCTCTAGTGTTGTATAACTTAATGAGTCAAATATTTCAAGTTCATAATATGTTTTATATACGTCTATGATCAGTAATCATTATTTTTTGAGGTGCTTCGGTATTTCCCGAAAATTTTATCTGGTCGCACTGATGCCCACCGACACACAAGCACAGCCTGTGTAGGTGTGCAATAGAGGTGGGGGGGGGGGGGGCATAATTTTCTTACGCTTATTTCCCACTGCGTCAACCACAGATTACCCCCTAACATGTGGCGCCAACACTATAAACCTAAGTATCTACTTTAAGGCGACACCGTGAAAAAATGCACCTCCTTTCATCGAATAGTATAGGACTATGACACTACTAACGAAAGTGGAATTTTGATATAGGTAAATTCATGTCTTTATCTTGAATTTGATTGTTAAAAACACGATTGTATAATTTTGACTCGATCATAATTATTTGCGAAAACACCTCTAAAAATCACTATAGTTGAAATTACAACGAAATTTATTAATCTATATGCTTGGGAATCACTCAAATATATTCATAACATCAATATCCATAATTTACTTGCTCATTATTTTGATTACTTAAATCAATAATTATTAAAAAAATATTTTAAGATTCTGACAATTTATAAGCGCTTTTAATCGTCGCGGGCGCTCCGCAATTATAGACCTTATGACGGCGTTTTTACAAGTTTTTATAGAAATTATGTATTCACTCGGATCAGTACGGCGATAGCCTTTTCGATGTGTCGTCTTAATATTTTAATCTTACGTCGGCCTGTTGCGTAATGTGTGTTCTGAGCGTAAGCGCCACAGCCCTTCCGTTCAAAAGCCGAATCGAGAGTGAACGGCGGGCGGAAGGGAACAAACTTTAAAACGACGAAAGTTTAGATAATTTCTTTTTACGGTGAAAATAATGATAATTAAAAAAAGTAAAAACATAAGCCTTGCTTTATAGTTAGTTTAGTTAGTATGCAAAGTTTTATGACCTAATTTGAAGTATTTTTTGAATACCAGCGGTTTATGTTACGGTTTGGAGGTAACCGTGTTTTTTTCTAACACATTACTTAACATTATTCCTCAACTTCACCATATATTTATTTAAAAAACAATGCTGCAGTATTTTCGGCATAACACAGGATCTTGCTAAGCCATTTGAGGTAGTATAGTCTCATAATTGAAACCACTTAGTCTGTGCATGACTGGACCCCACTGCGTTGAAATATTATTTCGTCGATTATTAAAAAAAATTATATTACATATATTTTGACTGTGTAGGTATTCCACTTTTGTAGGAAACGCAGGAGGGTCCAGAATTATGAACTGAATATGTGGTTTAAAAGACTATCAATTGTTCTATTTCACCTTGTATAAACAAATAGTGATGTAAAGAATGTGTTTGAGTGTGGTCTTGAGATTAATAAAAAAATCATATAAAGAAAATCAAGAAACATAAAAAATACAAATTATTGTTTGTTTACAGCCTGCGATTCAATTAAATATGTCTGGTATTTTCATTGAAAATGATCAAAATTAAACAATTTCACAATCAATATCTGAATGTGGTCCTCGTCCTGTTATGGTATTTTTTTTCCTATTTAAAAAAGCAGGATCACCCTACTATTTTTGAAGAGTCATACAATTTTTAGTATTTTCTTTTCTATTTTTATTAATATTTATGTTAATAATAAAGAGTGGTTTTCAGATCGAACCTTTTTGTGTGCCTACCATTCAAAATCAATCTGGAGAGATTTCAATAAGGAGCGGCATAGATTTAGCCCCTAGCACATCTGTTACGCTAGATTTAGTCACTAGCATATCCACTGCACCAGATTTGGTAGGTACCACCTCCGCTGCGCCAGATTTAGCCGCTAGCACCTCTGCTGTCCCAGATTTAGCCGCTAACACTTCCGCTACACCAGATTTATTGGTATGACTAGCTTCAGTTTCTATTATCATCATTATTTGCGAATTTGATCGAAATTATAACATCTCATCGGCTGAATTGAGACTAGGTGGGAGATATCTCTGGCTTGTCTTCACTTTATACTTATGTTTTATTTTATTTGATTTCATGTACACTCATTTGAAATGATAAAGAAATTAAAGGAAAATTTTCAATGTCAGACGAAAATTTAAGGAAATTAATATATTAACTTTACATTTATGAAAATGTAATGTACGTGCACAAAAATAAAAGTAGTTTTACATAAATAAGTAACATTCATTTTGTAAATAATAGAACAGACACAATCTAGTTGTACCAGGTCAAGTCCACCGAGTCAGTAATACATTCTTGGGACGATGTATACGCTTTTACAACAAAATCCCGGAAAATATACAAAATTTGGCCTGTGTTAAGTTCAAAAACGTTATTAAACTAAGTTTGTATATAAAGGGTTGTTATAATGTTAAAGAATTATGGATGATAATAACCCCTGGGAAGGGTGATCAATACCAAGCTGATTCTAATTTGTTTTGTGTTGTTAATTGTAACATCATGATTGAAAACGGTTATTTAAAAAAATAGTCCCGCTTGGTTTCTTGCTGGTTCTTCCGAGGACAGGTTTTTTTCTGAACCAGTGGTAAAATAAAAAAACGACTTTCAGTTAGTATTATTTATAATCTTTATTGAAATAAAAAGTTTGTTTCTGTTTCTGTTTCTCGATTTGAAACAAACCAAACCCCACTCTGCAATATACCCAAACAAAGTAATATGGTAGAAGTACTCCACTAAATGAAATTTATTGTTTGTGATGAGAGTACTACGGCCCATAAAAGAGGCTTTGACTTATATATTACTAGCGTAATGACCGGGCCGACCGAACAACTAAAACGGACCAGTGCGCTGGCCCTAAAATCTCAGTTTAGGGCCAACGCGAATCGGTTGTCAGTGGTGCGCGCACAGGATAGATTTTTCTGTCATAAATATGCCTAGTTGCGTTGAAAAAGGATGCAAAAATTACGACACAAAGATTAAAAAGGAACATGAGATATCATATCATCGGTAAATAACCTTATAATAATTTTGTTACAATAAAATTATTATATAAACGCATTTTTAAAGTTTTATTTCACAGTTAGTTTAGTTACGTTACCAAGATTAGGCCAGGATTTGCTTCAGACCCTCAAAAATATTGTACATGTAAAATAAAATTATATTATTTCTTGAAAATTATATTTCATGTTTGTTTGTTGTTGTTGTTGTTGTATATGTCACGTTTGATGTTTCATGTTTCTTTTTTTCACCATGCATCGGGATTTTGGCATCATGCGTCTAGTTTAAACTAGACTTTTTTGACGGTTTTATTTTTATTTTTGTATTTAGGGTAAAACGAAAAGAGTACAAAAGAAACTATACCTACTTAATTGAAAGTGACCTGACCTGACCTGATTCATAAAATATTTTAAAATTCTGTTTTCAAACCGATTGCTTCTTGAACATAGAGTTTTTATCTACATTATAGTTGTATCAAGGATACAACATAAATGCATCGATCGATCACTGACTGACCCGAAAGGGAGCTAATGCTAATTTTATTAAAAACGCGATACTTATGTTCAACACAAAAAAATCTCGATATCGTAGGGTTAATATTAAAAAGTAAAAAGACCCAATAATATTACTAGTTGGTTGACCTTAAGGTAAAATTATGGTATTTTCGCTTAGTATTATTGCGAAGCTACATACACACTACTACTATGGTACAAATACGATAAATATACTATGAAATCCGACCCTGGTTAATGACACTTGCGTTACTTTTTCTTGTTTGAAGAAGTTATGAGTAAAATATTTAGATTGGCGCATCCTTCCTTTTGAAATCATTGGCTTCGAAGCCCTAAATAGATCTTTACGAGATATTAGGAATATTAATTGTCCAATGGGAGGAGTTACTGTGTTGTTAGCAATTGATTTCCGGTAGACTATACCAGTAGTGCCCGGAGGAACGCGAGCGGAAGAAGTTAAAGCGTACGTGAAGCGGTCTCATTTGTGTACTGCCGGACAGTTCTCAGACCTAGTCTTACACATTTTAAATGATCTCCTGAATCCCGACAAAACTCCAAATCTCCAGACAAACAGCTTTTCTTCACATCATACCTGCTTTTGATTTAATAAAAGCTCAGTTACCTAGGCTATAGCGTTTCTCAAGAATTGGGCTATCAAATCAAAAATATTTGTTTCAAATCCGACTGGTAGTTTCATAGATTACCCCTTGCATAGCAACAAATTTCATCTCCATAATATTAGATGGTAGTTCTGCCAATGTAGCCCCTAAAATTCAAACTTTCATACTTTTTTTTGCAAATTGCAGCTCTGTATTATGTCGTATGTTGATCATAATGTGATACACGACAAAAACTAAACTATTAATAATATTACTATATTTCATTAAAAAAATACCATCTACAGAATGACCATACCATTGACGGAACCACCATAAAAATAAGTCCTACGGTTTAGATGTGAAAAATGACTAACCAAGAAACAGCTTAGATGAAAGGCATAAATAAGTTAGAAAACTTGGGGTTATTTTTACCCCCAGATATTATGCCGTGTGTCCATGGTCATATGAAAACATTCTCACAATCTTTCGATATGGGCTGCCCTATTAACCGCCATTTTATTCTCTTAGTAAAGTGTAGGTATACACGTTATTCTTGTAGTTACTCGTATGCCAGGTCCATATTATGTTTTATATATGTCTATGTTACTGATGTATACCGACATACACAGGACAAATATACCAATAAAACGGATTTACTTAACATGTTCATTCATCATCATCACAATAAATGTTAGAATTGTATTTTACCCATGTAGTGAGGCAAGGAGAACCATCTCACATAGGAGAATAGTTGAAAAAGTGTCCATCTGTAAGCATTAAATAACAGTTTAAAAACTCTCCACAACAGCGCTAGAGTAGATAGAGGGTATGAAGTTACCTTAGCAGTTGTCGACGGAGTGATGTGTGCTGAGTTGAGGAATTTAATATTTGTGGTGACTAGAGTAGTTGATGAAACTGAAGTATTTAAAACCTCAACTACTCACGTTGTCTAAAATAATTTAGAAAATATAACCTAGAAGAAGTAGCCTTGAAACATGTTGAATGGCAAAATTGCATGAATCGGGCTTCGAGTTGCTTCCACATCCACCGTATTCTTCATGTATTTATCATCGTATTTGGCCCCCAGCGACTTTTTCCTGTTCTCAGATCGTAAGAGAATGCTCGCTAGAGAGAAATTTAAAGCCGATGAGGAAGTAATCACCGAAACAGAGGTCTATTTTGAGACTTAGCACAAATCGTACAAAAATGGTATTAAAAAGTTGAAAGATTGCTATAATCGGTAGATCGTCCTCGATGGCAACTGTGTTGAATAATAAAATCGAATTTTGCCCGAAAATTTGTTTTTCTTTAAAACGATACGATTTTTTTAGGCCCAATTGTTATTCACAAAAGAAGTACTTGTATATTATCTTAAAAGAGAATTAAAATCTATAGGTCGAGGAATATAAGGATGAAGGTAATCATAAAGGAAGGAGGATAGTTTGGGATAGTTGAAAAAAATATGGTTTGTGAAACCTTCATCTAAGCCACATACACACTATAAGCTATCCCTAACTCTGATTTTTGCCAGATGTACTTACATGTGTATAAGCATGTCCAATTCTTAATCTACAGATGATTGAAGTTGCATGCTTATTTGTTTTGTTAAATTAAAAAAAAACACGGCTTGGGAGGAATAACCTCTTGGATGGACTCAGTGCTTAGCTTTAACATTTTTGGATAATTCTCACGATTTATTACAATTCTCATTCAGTTTCATTTTAGCTAGAAAACTAAGGTCATGTGAGGGAGGATGGCCAAATCGTACCAGACAACGAAATGATAGCGTCCCAATATGAAATATTTATGTAAAATACCCTTATTGTTTAAGGTCTTAAAACACACTAGAAATACCTCTTGTCGCCACAAAAAAGTTATCCATTTATTTCTATTTTTGTAACTGTTCAAAATTATTTCAAATTATAGTTTCAGAACGCACCTAAAAAAACACCCCACCCCCCCCCCTTTTTTTTTTTTTTTTTTTTTTTTTTATAAAATATTTTTTTTTAAAATTATTTTTATTTTATAAAAAAATAATAAAAAAAAAATAAAATTTTTATAAAAAATAATATTTTAAAAAAAAAAAAACACAAAAAATCACCCCTTCCCCAATGACGATTCATTTCGTTTGTGAAAGGACTTGGTATTGAAATTGAAAGACTATAATTATTCACGTTTTTATAAATAGTTGTTAATTTTAATTCAATTCACTTAGTATGTAGACATCAAATCAACTACTATGTTGATTTATTATGTATTGGATTCTTGTCATAAAAATAATTATGTAGGTCATAGTAAGCTTAACGTTTTGTTCAATTACATATGTACAACGCAACGTCATTTGTCATCGCTTACTCTGTGATTATCGATTCGCGCCGGTATTATTGGTTATTTCTTAATTCCTTCTGTTGTTTTGACCTCGGTATTTTTCTACGGACTGATTTTTTCACATCTTGGATAATTGTGAGAAACATCATGCAAACACAACAAAGACAACTAGGTGTGCGATTGCTTTGTGTTTAATTGTATGTAACATATGCATTGATAAACTTCGTCACCATCTCGTTTTTGAGCTTGATACAAGAGTAATTTCTAAGATCTGCGAGTGGAATTCTTCAATAATAGTACGTATTTACATACCTACTTATTTTATTACACTAACATAATACATCATCATAATACAACTCTAATTCTTATTTTAGATCACCAAAGAAGATTACGTATGTGATGCCTGTCAGCAATTGGCAATACAGCATGTCAATTCCGGGTTACCTAATGAACCTGGTGCCTCATCTTCCTGTGGCCACAAGCATGTTTGCATACTTTGTGGAAGTTCTCTGAGGACTTGTAAAC